TGTGATAACTAACAAACACAGACAGACGGCTGATATGGGAGCTGAGGCCATGTTGAGAAGAAAAGGGGTTTATTTTTCCATTTCAGTACAATTTGGATAACAACCTCAGAATTCTAGGTGAAATGTCACAAGTCATTAATTTCAAATACCTAACTAAGGGTCTACCCAAGAAGAAACTCTCTTGTTGAGGTTCCAATTTCAACTTCCTACATTGTCAGATAGTTAACCAGCTTTATTCTTTGCCTGACTTCACCAAACAGCAGTACAGAGGGAAAAGAACTAGTACGGAATGCCCAAATGGCGTGGAACAGCTCCCTGAAAGCAGTTTCCAATGGGTGTTCACAAAGGTAGGACAGCAGCAAAAACACTGGAGTAAAAACCTGAAAATTTCTTCCTCCAGGAAACCAACGAGAACACTGTGAGAAACAAGTTCTTGCAGGAATCTAGGGGGCGTGTATTCACGAAAAACCAGCTGAATATTGGTAATAAACAGAGCAAGCTTGGTGTTTGAATTTGCCCTAATTCTATCTCACTTCCCCAAGCTCTGTGGTCGCCTAAGAAAAACCACAACTGTCCGGACGGTTCGCGGTGAGAACCAGCAGGAGGGCTGCTAGCACGGGGGCAGGAGAGGATGAAGCTCTTTTCAAGCCCCCTTCTGAGCAGTCATTTTCTGACCTGTCTGGTACTCCCCTGGGAGACCTCACTTGCCCAGATGTGGAGCATGCCCACTGTGAAAAACCTAATCCCAAGGGTGCTGGATGAAAACAATTAATGGGCAAATTTTAACATAGTTTCATTAAATTAAATATTCATTTGGAAGTCAGAGTTACAGAGGGAAGGAGGCACAGAGAGAAAGAGAGAGTTTTCCATTCATTGGTTCACTCCCCAGATAGCCACAACAGCCAGGGCTGGGTCAGGACAAAACTAGGAGCCAGGAGTTTCTGCCAGGTCTCTCACACGGGTGGCAGCGACCCAGGGACTTGGGCCACCTTCTGTTGCTTTCCTAGGCCATTAACAGGAAGCTGGATCAGAAGTGGAGTAGCCAGGACATGACTGACACCCAAGGGTGATGCTGGCAACACAGGCGGCGGCTTCGGTGGTTTTACCCGCTTTGCCACAATGTGGCCCCAACAAGCAAGTTTCAACTCTGAGGCTACCCAAGGTGGTAGGTAATAGCTGGGGCGAACAATTAGGCTAATTAAAATGCATCAAAGGAAAAGCTGAGGAATGAGATGTCCCTAAGGGGTTTCGAAAAGTTCTAACTATTCCTGGGAATCTAAAAGGCCACCCAAATGCTCAGATGTGCAAATGCAGATGAAAACCATCCGCAACCACATCCCATCTGCCTGACCTGAAAGCTCTGTGAAGTTGGAAGCGGGACCTAAGGTAGTTTAAGGTAAGTTCCAGCAGGCAGAAAGAGCTGTTCAGCAAAGACTGAAGACTCACTGGTTGTAGGCATTAATGGACATTGCTCAATCGTTAGCTGACTAGGAACTCACTAAACAGAGACCTCAGTGGCCATATGGGAAAGAATACAGACTTTAAAGAATTGATTTAGGAATGTCATTAAACAAACAACGGATAGCAGCAATCTCCAATAAAGGGAAAGTATTGCCACAGAATGTTATTTAAAATGTCCAGTTTTCAACAAACTGTGATATGGAAAGAAATGAGAAATTATGTCTCATGCTCAGAAAAAAAAAAAAAAAACACACTCAATATTAACTGTCCCCTTGAAGCCCAGATGTTGGACTCACTAGACAAAGACTTTGTATCGGGGCCGGCACCATGGCTCACTTGGTTAATCCTCCACCTGCGGCAGTGGCATCCCATGTGGGCACCAGTTCTAGTCCCGGTTGCTCCTCTTCCAGTCCAGCTCTCTGCTGTGGCCTGGGTGGTCAGTGGAGGATGGCCCAAGTGCTTAGGACCCTGCACCTGTGTGGGAGACCAGGAGGAAGCACCTGGCTCCTGGTTTTGGATCAGTGCAATGCTGGCCATAGCGACCATTTAGGGAGGGAAGACCTTTCTCTCTGTCTGTAACTGTCTAACTATGTGGGCAGAAAACAAAAAAAAAGAAGACTTTGTCTCAGCTATTCTAAATATGTCCAAAGAAATAAAGTATGAGAATGACATCTCTCAAGTAGAGAGCATTAACAGAGAGCTAGAAATGATTTTTCTTTTTTAAAAAGAACCAAATAGAAACTCTGAAGTTGAAAAATCCCATAACTGAGATACAGAATTCACTGGAGGGATTCAAGAGATGGGAAGAAAGAATCTGTGTACTTGAAGCTAGGTCAACTGAGATGATCTGATCTGAGGTTCAGAAAGAATAAAGAATGAAAACATACTCAGTTCCAGAGATCAGTAGGACATTATCAAGTCTGACAACATATACATAATTTGGAAGCCCCATAAGGAGAGGAAAGAAAGGGGCAGAAAGAATAACTGAAGAAACTAGTGGTTTCTTGATGACACATATTAGTCTAAAAATTCAAGAAACTTGGGACCAGAGCTGTGGTGCAAAGAGTTAAGCCACCGTCTTCAGTACCACCATCCCATATGGGTGCTGGTTTGAGTCCTGGCTGCTCTGCTTCTGATCCAGCTCCCCGCTAATGTACCTGGGAAAGCAGTGGAAGATGGCCCAAGTGCTTGGGCCACTGCACCCAGGTGGGAGACCGGCGGTATGAAGCTCCTGGCTTCAACCTGGCCCAGCTCTGGCCATTGCAGCCATTTGGGGGAGTGAACCAGAGGATGGAAGATTCTCATTCTCTCTCTCTCTGTGTAATTCTTTCAAATAAATAAATCTTCAAAAGTAAAAATTCAAGAAGTTCAATGAACCGCAAGATAAGATAAAATCAAAGATATCTGCATTTAGATACATCATAATCACACTGCTGGAAGACAAAAAGAGAGAAACTAAAAGAACAAAGCTTAGATTTTTCTCTAAAGGATGCCTACAAGTGTACCTGAGACAAGCGGGGTGGCTCCCGGATCAGAATTCGGAGTCCTCTGTCATGTACATCTCTGAATGTAACTTAGCTAAGCACACATTTCATGTAACTCCATGATCTCTGAGAATAACAATAAGCCAACTTCTCTACCAGGTGAGTGCTTAGTCTTTAGTACTCAAGGCAGTTATAGGGTCCATGTCGAAATAAGAAATCTACTTTTGCAGGAAAAAAAAACAGAAGCACCAACAATTGATAATGTGTTATGGCCTTTATGTGGGAATGCTCTTTTAGGTACTCAAATAAAGTGTTCACCTTACATGCAGTGGCTGATTAAGAGTTTTTTAAGGTCTATGAAGTGGGCCGGCACCGCGGCTCACTAGACTAATCCTCCGCCTTGCGGCGCTGGCACATTTGGTTCTAGTCCCGGTCGGGGCACCGGATTCTGTCCCGGTTGCCCCTCTTCCAGGCCAGCTCTCTGCTGTGGCCAGGGAGTGCAGTGGAGGATGGCCCAAGTCCTTGGGCCCTGCACCCCATGGGAGACCAGGATAAGTACCTGGCTCCTGCCATCAGATCAGCGCGGTGCGCTGGCCACGGCGGCCATTGGAGGGTGAACCAACGGCAAAGGAAGACCTTTCTCTCTGTCTCTCTCTCACTGTCCACTCTGCCTGTCAAAAAATTAAAAAAAAAAAAAAAAGATCTATGAAGTAATCAATTTTTTTGTAGCTGATTCGCAAAAAAACAAACTGTGATGTGATATTTCAGTCAAAAGAAACTTAAAATTTTTTTTAGTTTCTTCCACAGACATAAAGTATAAATTTGACTAAGTAATTTACCCCTGTTCTTCCTACCTTATTAACTTAAATCCCTGTGAGGCACTAATATAATAACACTTATTTGAGAATTAGAATTAGGGTAAACATAAGGTTACTGATTTATTTCTCCCCCAGTAAAGGTCACCACTGCATTGACTGTCCAAATGCTATAACTGTGCTTTTTATATTTATATAATGTCTTTACATTAAGGTATAACAAATTACTTTAAAAATTATTTTAAAAACTTTGAGAGGTGGAAAGACAGAGATCAATGCAGGGGGTCGGGGAGAGAGAAAGAGAAAGAGAAAGAGAAAGAGAAAGAGAAAGAAAAAGAGAAAGAGAAAGAAAAAGAGAAAGAGAAAGAAGCTGGGAACTCAATCCAAGTCTCCTGAGTGGGCAGCAGGGATTCAACCACTTGATTCATCACCTACTGCCTCCATCAGGGTGCACATTAGTAGGAAGCTGGAATCAGAAGCAGAGCCAGAACTTGAACCCAGGCACCCTAATACATGGGATGTGGGTATCCAGTCAGTGACTTAACCAGTAGATCAAATGCCCACACTATTTATGTATTTATTTTTTAAAGATTTATTTATTTAAAAGGTAGAGCTATAGAGAGATAATCTTCCATCCACTGGTTCAGTCTCCAAATGGCTGCAATGGCTGGAGCTTGGCTGATAGGAAGCCAGGAGCCAGGAGCCTCCCTCAGGTCTCCCCCAGGATACAGTGGCCCAAATACGCAGACCATCTCCCACTGCTCTCCCAGGTGCACCAGCAGGGAGCTAGATCTGAAGTGGAGCAGCTGGGCCTGAATTGGCACCCACTAGGGACAGCGGCTTTACCTGCTATGCCACAATGCAGACCTCACAATTTATTTTTAATGTAAACAGATCAAATACAGTGGAAGAATAATTGTACAATACATATTTAAAGGTATATCACATGATCATTTGAAGAACATTATTATATCATAAAATTTTAAGCTACAGAGAAACTGAATAGCTTTTATTCCTGGTCCTCAGATGAAGATGCCAAAGGTGCACTAAAATGTCTTGCTTGGGGGTAGGAAAGTTAAGACTGCAAAATTCCAAAAAGCAAACACAAATTACTGAATAAAAAAAATGATGGGACTCATGCCCAAGGAAGGGAGAAGCTCCACCTAGATGGCCTCTCGTCTGTGTGACAGATATCCAAAATGGGGAAAACTGCCCCTCGACCAGACTTCCCCAAACTAACCTGTGATAATAAGACATTCATTGTGATCCAGCACCTCAGTGAAGAGCCGTGAAACAATCAATTCGGGATTGATTAAAAAGCGGATTTCTTCTTGCACAAGTCCTGCACTGGTTACACCACCTCCAACAAAACGATTTGCAAAATCCACCTATTTGGGAAAATGTGGCATGTTAAGTGATGGTCTCACATACCTGCATATACAACAAAGAAGCACATGCCCTCAGCTCTAAGCTCTTCTTTACTATGAAAATCAATCACCAGATTAATAATGTTCCCAAGAACAGATGACTCTTCCTTGTATTCTTTCCATCTCATTGCACGCAGCCATCTCTGCATATTTCTATGGATCCTAAGCCTTTGAAAGAATGCACAAAATGGAGCTGTAGGGCCAAGTAGGTATTATTTAGACTCACGAGTATAAACTTTGTGCCCCAAGGGCCACAAATCCAAGTGAGAGCTTTATTTTCAGATTTCAAAGTCATTTCCCCACGCTGACCAATTTTCCTTCATATTTACATATTTACATGACTTTAAGATAGTTTTCCCTTTCTTGCATGATATGGCAACCAAACACTTGTGCTGAACACCTGGAAAGTTTAGTAACTGATTATATTTATGTGATCTTTTTCTCCTATGAAAGAATAAAGGGATGGAATTTTTGTTGTAAATTAAAACGCAAAACTGCAAACCACATGACCATTACAAACTATTTTTAAAAAAAGAAACTTAAGGAAAAAAAGAAATGAACTCCAATATAACAATGATACAGCTAAATCAGTAACTCCAATTTAGTTTGAAATTACATGTAAGTTTTATGTGGGAATACTATGATGGAGTCCTCAAGCTCCTACTGAGCTACATAATCCTCAAGAGAAAGCAAGCTCCATCTGCCACCATTATTTCAGTCTGTCTTAAACTTACTAAGCACTACAATATGTCAACACTATGCTAAGCTCTATGGCTCACTATGTAAGAAATGGTATCTATCTTATTCTGAGAGGTTAGATTATACACAAACACACACACACAAATGTGTGTAAATACACAGTCATACATAATACAAGTAAAACAGAATTTAGCAAGTACTGTAAGAGAGGCTGTTATATTTCCAAACTATTGTAAAATGAAAGATTTCTTAAAACTTGTTTGAGGGGCCAGCATTCTGGCGTAGCAAGTAGGGCCGCTGCCTGCAGTGCCGGCATCCCACATGGAAATGGCTGCTCTGCTTCCAATCCAGCTCTGCTATGGCCTGGGAAGGCAGTGGAAGATGGCCCGAGTGCTTGGGCCCCTGCACTTGCGTGGGAAGACCCAAAGGAAGCTCCTGGCTCCTGGCTTTGGATCAGCGTAGCCAACTGGGGAGTAAACTAGTGGATGGAAGATCTCTCTCTCTCTCTCTCTCTCTGCCTCTCCTTGTTTCTCTGCCTCTCCTCTCTCTGTCCAACTCTGACTTTCAAATAAATAAATCTTAAAAAAAAAAAACTTGTTGTGTTCTCTAGAGCAACTGGTACTTAATGATAATGTGAAGCCATTTTGAGGAATAAAATAAGCCTTTTGATATGTGAAAATATATGTGAAAAGACAGAAGTTAATAGAAGGGATAGTAGTCTTCTCTTCTCAGACAGGAGAGCTTAGAAAATAGTGAAGCACACCACTGACAAGTTCCCACAGAGAATCATATATTTGGCTCTGCAGTCTGGAGTACTAAAATCAATAGTAAACAACCAGAGTAACTATATTTATATATTATAATTTTGGTGAGACTCGTTTGTGGGTTAGAATTAGTTACCTACTACTGAGTGATTCATAGTTTCAACTATTCAGTTTAACAAATATTTACTGAGTAGTGTGCCAGGACTCACGTGATACCAAGATGAACCAGGTTTGTCATTCCTGGACTCACAACACTCATAATCTAGATGACAGTCAGGCACTTAAGCAGAATAACAGGACTATGTAAGAATCGATCAGTATGTATTTGGTATTTCCTAAATAATACAGTTAAATAAAACTGGATGGAGCCAGCATTGTAGCATAGCAGGTAAAGCTGCTGCCTGCAATGCTGGCATCCCATATGGGCCTCAGTTCATGTCCCAGCTACTCCACTTCCAACCCAGCTCCTGGCAATGGCCTGAGAAAGCAGTGGAAGATGGCCCAAGTGCTTTGGCCCCTGCACCCATGTGGATCTGGAAAAAGCACCAGGTTCCCGGCCTGGCCTGGCCCGGCCCCAGCCACTGTGGCCATCTGGGGAGTGAACCAGCAGATGGGAGCTCACTTGCTCACTCTCTCTCTCTCTCTTTGTTAACTCCAAGTTTCAAATAAACAAATAGAAATAACAAATAGAAATAACCAAACAGAAAAAATAAAAACCGAATCATGGGAGGAGGATGAAGAGCTTTAACAGGACAGGCATCATTCGATCCATGGTTAGCAGATATGCAGCCTATGGGAGCAGCTTCCACGAGACAATGGCGAACACCTAATGCTGCATGAGTGGAGGAAAGCAGACGCTCAGGGTCACCTGCAGTGTGGTTTGTGGAGGGTGATGGTGGCCTGAGGTCTAGCCAAGTCTAACTCAGTTCTGAAGGTCCTGGGAAAGACTCATGTGACAACTGGATATAATGAGGTGGACAATTCAGGCTGGTGTTTAAAGAATAAATCGGAGAAGTAGAAAACCAAAAGCAAAGAGGCTGGTTAGGTGACTCTTGAATAGTTTTGGGGCCCACTACCAGGGCCTCAAATAGGACAGTGGCAAAGTCAAAGACGAGAGACTCAAGAAGGAAGTAAAATGGATAGCCCTGAAAATTCAGAATACGGCGGAGTGCCTACAAGTACAACGGCACTATGAATACAAATGAGAGGCAGAGGCCTGAGACTGGCCTAACTGAATTTCTACTGGAGGAGGGGACGTGACTAAAATAACAGATAAGCTCTATCTGACTTATGTACTCCTTAATAATGACCATGCAATAGACTCAATGCTCATGCCATTGTTCACCCTTTGAATAAAAGGCCAACAACAGTTATACTTGAAAGGTGTGTATAGAAATAAATACACTAAACACAGTGTCTCTCAAGACAGGAAGTCTTTTAGAAAAATCAAAGTTTCTACTACTTAAAAAAGTTCTTGATGAAAGACTCTGTATAACAGGTGAGAAATCTGGTCCTGTACCTGGCAACAAGTAGGAGTGATTATTTTTAGCCTGTCATTTCCCAAGTCTCTTGACTTTAAAGCTGCTTGTTCAGATTACTCAGCTTCTGAATTAGAACTTGATGAAAAGAGAAATGATAACACTCCTCAAAGAGGTTTTGTTGTTGCATTCAGCATAATGTAATTTACATGCTATACAAGGAGCTCTATGGCACTGCAATACAATATGCCCCCATCTCCTGGGGGGACGTGGCAGGGGTAGGGAGAGCAATTAATAGTGCCAGAAGCTTTTACACTATTCTTTTAATCTACTGAGGTCTCACATTTCATCTATAATATATTCGAGCAAGGGGGAGAATCTCGACCTTGACTGTGGTTAAATAATTCTTGGTGGAAGTGCATTGTAGCGAAAGGTCAGCATTCCTGCTGTGCTAACTAGCGGCAGCTTTGTTCAGTTCTTGTGTATTATGACTCCTTCAGCTTATCCAAGACTTTAATGTAGGTAAAAACTTCGTTGAAAAGGAAATGTGGGAGGAAATGTGACATTCATCTGAAACAATTTTTAAGTATATTTAACTTTTTTAAGTTGAAGAAGTATATGATTAAGCACAAATTAAACAGGACAAATATTCATTCAATTGTCCTAAGGATTTGGGTTTATAAGCTCAAGTAGTAATTGCAAGAAGGGATTTAAAACAAAACATGGTTTGTCTCTGAAGATTTTAATCACAAATATGTTCAAATGCAACACCATTCTAAAAAGAATTGTATTAATCAGAGAACATATGTATGTAATAACTAGCCACATATAAATCAGTCTAGTGACATTACAATAAGCATTGTTATTCAAACAAATCAGTCCATGTTTAGGCAACTGCTTTGTTTAGCTCCTGACCTAATATAAGCATCAAAGATCTAAGGGGAAAGATTAGCTATTCCCAGTTCACATTTAGATGATGTACAGCTTCCTTCAAAGAAAACTAAATTCACAATGCTCTTATAAGTAGGATAAAAACACAAAACAGTAACATTTTGTCCTTGATTACTGAATTTTAAAAATCGCTACAAATCAAAAGGAAAATACGGACTCAGGGTAGGTGTTAAGAATATTTTAAAGCTAGATACATGTAGTGTTTTGTTAACCCATTTTCCAAAAAGATTGGAAACATGAAGTTAGCTAACAGATTAACAGCAAAGACTGAGGGTGGACAGAGAGTCACTACTCTTTAAGAGGGAAAGACATCAGCAATCAGTGTTGGCTCATGTGCCTACACCTGCCACATATGGCAAAGAGGCCTTTCTGATAAGCCTAGACTCAACAAGGCTGCTGGTGGCAAAAGGACATCTCAAGGTGGTCATCACTTGGACCAGAGCACGATCTTTTCTAGACAAGAATAATGCTGCGTGGTGACAGCTTGGCAAGACCATACCTTGGGCACCTCCTCCACTGTCAACCTGCAATCAACGTCTGAACTGAGAGGACCGACGCTGTCCAGATCTGGAGATCTTCCGTCAGAGGCTGTTTCACAGAGGCACACGTAAGCAGAGCACCTGCTGCCACTGACAGCCCTGCCCAGGCTGTCAGTCAGCTGCTTGCTGTTCTCCATCCTGCCATCATGCTTCTTTGCATTAAGTCAGTTTAGGGGACAAACAAGCAGCTTCTCGAATTCCCTGGACGCGACTCACTCGCAGAGGCTTGCCTACCTGTAGCATGCCGCGACCATTCCCTTCTATGGTGCCCTCGTGAGTGACGTGCAGCCGTGTCAGGGGTTTCTCGCACCTACGGTATAGATATGTATGCATTTTTAATGATAAGTAATTAATTTTGGATAAATATGAAAATAAAGATCAGTACACAAAACTGAGATCATCCCAAATCTCTTGCAGAACACATGCCTAATGTTAACATTATTGGATCCGACCTCTCACACTTTTTCTTGTTCAAATATGCAAATATACACGCTTCAATCACAATGAAGTTTTGAAGCCTGCCTTTCCTGCACATAGCATCAAAAGACAACTAAAAAGCTTCTCAAAATGTAAAAAATTAAGATCTATGAATTTTTTTTTAAGATTTATTTATTTGAAAGTCAGAATTACACAGGGAAAGGAGAGGCAGGAGACAGACAGAGGTCTTCCATCTGCTCATTCACTCCCCAAGTGGCTGCAATGGCCAGAGCTGCACCGATCTGAAGCCAGGAGCCAGGAGCTTCCACTTGGTCTCCCACGTGGGTGCAGGGCCCAAGCACTTGGGCCACCTTCCACTGCTTTCTTAGGCCATAGCAGAGAGCTGGATTAGAAGTGGAGCACCAGGACACGAACCAGTGCCCATATGGGATGCCAGCACTGTAGGCGGCAGCTTTACCCGCTATGCCACAGCGCTGGCCCCAAGATCTATGAATTTTATTATTGTGTCAGAGTTAGTAACAAATCAAAAAATATACAGACATTTGGCAATAAATCATGATTCTCAGATGGGTTGTTTGTTTAAAGATTTATTTATCTGAAAGAATTACAGAGAGGTACATCCCCACCCCCACACAGAGACAGAGGGAGAGAAAGAGAGAGAATTCGTCCATCTGCTAGTATACTCTCCAGATGGCTGCAACAGCCAGGGCTGGGCCAGGCTGAAGCCAGGAGCCAGGAGCTTCATTTGGGGTCTCCCACATGGGTAGCAGAGGCCCAAACACTTGGGCCATCATCCATTGCTTTTCCAAGGACATTCACAGGGAGCTGGATTGAAAGGTGAGGAGCCAGGACAGAAACTTGTGCCCCTGTGGGATGCCAGTGTTGTAGGTGGCAGCTTTACCCATTATGCCACAATGCTGGCCCTATGGATGGCTCTTATTTCACTAGTTCGTAACTGTGTGTGTGTATAATCATCTTGATTAAAATACATGCCACAGGGACCGGCACTATGGTGCAGTAGGCTAAGCCTCTGCCTGCAGTGCTGGCATCCCATGTGGGTGCTGGTTCATGTCCCAGCTGCTCCACTTCTGATCCAGCTCTCCGCTATGGCCTGGGAAAGAAGCAGAATATGGCCCAAGTCCTTGGTCTGCTTCACCCATGGGGGAGACCCGAAAGAAGCTCCTGGCTCCTGGCTTCAGATCTGCCCAGCTCCGGCCGTTGCAGCCATTTGCGGAGTGAACTAGAGGATGGAAGACGACAGACTTGTTTCCTTTTTCTGAATCCTTCTTCTCTAGCCATTTTACATTTAGAGGGAGAACACAGTAGGGATACTATTGAAAAGATTAAGAAATAGGATACATAATTCTCTAGGCTACTTATCAGTCAGGAATTCAAAACAGAAGCTCCATCTTTTGTCAGCTGGCACACTTTATAACATAAGTTTTCAGTAAAATTAAGAAATTATTAGAAACTGACTTTTTTGTCTGTTTTACACATCCTGCAACTCCTTGATAGGTCTCCCCTTCTGATGCCAGCAATCCCAGCCCCTGAAGCCAGGCTAAGGGATTTGCTGATCCTCAGGGCTAATGGTAAGATGCCAGAAACTGGGAATTCAGAAAAGCCTCTGCCTTCCCGGTGCTATCACAGTCCCTCACCCTTGGGAGCATCAGTAATGTTCATTTCTTCACCCGCCTTTCAGTGCATGCATGTTTCTGGTTCTGCAGAGTCTAGGAAGAGGATTTTAAGTATATTCAAACTCACAAAGCAGCTCCAACAAAAGAGATGAACGAAGTAAGCCAGAAAAGAGATCAAGTTAAACTCTACAGTTCAAAGTTAAGGGGACAATCCTGGTACTTCCTGAGGCAGTTACTGGCTCAGTGACAGTAGCTTTGCCTGTCTGTGCATTTCGACCTGTCCCTTTCATCCCACCTGGCAGTGTCCAAATGGGCGTCCTTTCACATGTGGAGTAGAAATCCTGGGGCTGAATTGAAAATAAGCCCCTTAAAAAATCTGTGAAATCTAACAGAAGAATGAAGAAACAATCTTCTGTACGTGCACTGGGCCAGATGGCCAGCAAAACAGAACCCTTAGTTCCGGGCACTCGAGTGACCAACAAATGGAGGTGCATCAAGAGCAGGTTTAAGATCCAGGATTTGTGTGTACTGCTAGAAGTGACAGCAGGAGCCGACCTTGTGGAGCAGCAGGCTAAGCAACACTGCTGCAATGCTGGCATCACATATGGGCACCAGTTCAAGTTCCAACTGCTCCATTTCAATCCAGCTCCCTGCAAATGTGCCCAGGAAGGCAGCAGAACACCACCCAAGTGCTTGGGCCCCACAGCCATGGGGGAGACTTGATGAAGCTCCTGGGTTGGGACGTCAGCCTGGCCCAGCCCCAACTGTGGCAGCCATCTAGGGAGTGAACCAGCGGATGGAAGATTTCTCTCTATCTATCTCCCTCTCTTTCTCTGTAACTCTGCCTTTCAAATAAATAAACATAAATCTTTTTAAAAAACCAAAAAGTGACAACACGCCAAGCAAGCATTTTTAAGATACAACAAGGAGGGCTGACTATGAATATTAAAGAAAATTTGAAATTGGAAGGAAGAATCAGGAGTGGGGAGGGGGAGGGATTCTTTAGAGGACAAGATATTTAAGCAAATAAAAGGGTTAGCTAATAACCCAACAATGGAACAGACCAAGGTGAACTTTCCATCCCTGAAGCTGCCCCGTCTCCCTGTGTTGCAGGTACTACAGAGTGACTGATACGACTTCCTGGGGTCCCTTTCATCTCTAATATGTCATGATTCCAAAATGCTATTCATATTCTCTCCCTTTTCTACACAGTATCTCTTTATATTTCAGTTATACAAAACAAATAAAAGAATGGCAAAATCTCCTCCCAGACTTTTCCTCTAGAAAGAAAAGCCATAAAACACAAACACTAACCAAAAATGGGAATGAGGAGGCACATTTGAATTTTAGGGTTCATTTAGTATTTGTGTCTTCACACACAAAACAACTTAATTCTACACAGGACTTTGCTCAGAAGAAAAATCTAAGGCAAAATGGTAAAACTCAGAGTTGGAGGTATACTTAAAAGGCATAGCTTTTCTAATGATGGGAGCTATCAATGCATCTTTCATGAGAAGAAACTCCTTAGTACCAGGGCAACGAGAGGCTGGAAACCATCTTTCCAAAGGCTGTAAGATAAGAGTCCTCTCATGGTAAGAGTCCTTCTAATTCTAAAGGTCCAGGATGGCTTTTTATTATCATTACCTTTCCCAGTCGGGAAAATCTTCAAGACTCTGTCTTGTGAATGTCACCAACCCAGTAGGCTCTACAAAAGCAAAAAAAGAAAAACACACTCAAAATAAGTTTTAATTTTGAAATGACTATGTACATGTATGTGGATGCGTGTGCGCGCTCTCTCTTTCTCTCTCTCTCAGTAGAAGGATGAGTCTAACAGTGGATGTAAAATCAGTCCGCAAAGTCCCGGCCTAGTGTTGAAATACAGGTGTCCCTCAGTAATCCCAGGTGATTGGTTCCAGGGCAAGCCCTCCTACCAGGATCAAAACCTGAGATGCTCAAATTTTTCACATAAAAAATGGTGTACTGTTTGCATATAACATACTGACATCCTTCTGTGTACTTTAAATTAGTTCTCAATAACGTGTAATACTTAATACAATGAAATGCTATTGTAGATAGTTGTAGTACTGTATTCCTCAGGGAATTTTTTCCCCCCCCGATATTTTTGATGTGAGATTGGCTGAATCCACAGATGCAGAACCCATGAATACAGAAGACTGACTGGTTTTAAGTAGTATTAACTTTACGTTATAAAGTTCTTTTATAAAATAATAAGTCCACAGTGAAAAAAACTATACAAAAAATAGCACAATAGCAGGATCTGATTGCTGGTACTTTCTGGTACAGTTTTTTAAACTGAACACATTTTATTAAAAAAAAAAAGCATTAAAAAGGTGTATAGTTGGTATAACTTAAATGTAATAAAAACAAAGTCCCTTTCAAAGAGAAGGTTTAACACCACACTCAAAGACTGGTAAACAGACATATATCCATATACTTTATGGTCAAGTGCAATGTCTGAGATTTAAAAGGAAGCACATCTTTCGGAGTCAGCACAGCGAAATCTCTGGCCTAGCTGACAGGCAGCTGTTCTACTGATAAGGGTGCACCTTAGGTGAGGGAGGAATGTCATTTTCTAAGTTTAGAGAAGACACATTTTTAAAGAAGTAATAGATTTGAAATGATTCAAATGAAATCTTAACACAGACAATAATTTTAGAGGGTAAGATCTTTTTTCATTACTTACTTTTTTTTTTTTTTTTTTTTTAAATAAAAGCCAGTGGCAAAAGCAACAAATAAATCAGTGGGCCAGAAGTAATCTGTCTGATTCAAATCAAACAAAAAACTAAAAAGGCCAGGCCATTTCTGTTTTCTTCTGTAAAGAAAAAGAAAGGCTCTTAAGCAAAGAAAGAGATGTCAGGAACTATTAGTGCTGGTGTCATGGAGCCCACTGCAGGCTTGGCAATCACTCCATTCCTACAGACAACTCCACATTTCTTTGCTCTCAGTCACAAGCAGTGACAACTCAAAAATCAGGAGGAAGAGTTGTCTAAGGAACAGAATATTTTGTCAATATGAGTCTGAAAATAATTTTAGATATCAAATTCCAAGATAAATGGGCATCATATTCAAAATTCACAAGAAAGAAGTCAAACAATTCAAACATCAGATGTGCAACTCTTTTAATAGAAAACTGACATTTGTCTTTTCGTTTCACAATTTGGCAGAGAAGTCAGAACATTAAGCGTCCTTCGACTTTCAAATAAATAAATCTTTTAAAAAAAGATATTGAGAGAAATTCATAATCGCCATGAGCAAGTTAAGAAACTGTCTGCTTCCACCACAAAAAGGCAGCCTTCATCTCAGAGCACAGTATTTTGGTTACCAAATAGTTTCCTTCATAAAAGCACAATATATACCTTACTGAGCTGATCAATGTTTAAGCATCTGATCTATAAGATACTTTATCTGAAAATACACTATGGTGAAAATGATTTAATTGTGGGTGATTTTTAAAATCTTTCAGTCTCAGGATCCTCATCAGAAACACAAGCATAAAATGTGGATGTTTAACTACACTGAAAAGTTGGTTCCGATGGAATTATATTTTATCAATTCTACAAAGCAGGCTTTTTCACATGTTAAGTTTCTGAACCAGGACTACCTTTTTTTTTTTTTTTTTTTTTTTTTTTTAAAGATTTAGAAAGGCAGAGTTAGAAAGAGACAGAAAGACCTTCTATCCACTGGTTCACTCCCCAAATGGCTGCAATGGCTGGAGCTAGGCTGATATGAAGCTAGGAGCCAGGAGCTTCTTCTGGGTCTCCCACACGGGTGGCAGGGGTCCAGGTACTTGGGCTACCTTCTGCTGCTTCCCCAGGTACATTAGCAGGGAGCTGGATCAGAAGTAGAGCAGCCAGGACTCAGATCGGCACTCAAAGGGGATGCTAGCACCGTGGGTGGCAGCTTTAGCAGCTATGCCACAGCACTGGCCCCTGGACCACTTTTTTTTGTTTACAGATAATGGTGATCTTGCTGGGTCTGCTGCCAAGTCCAATATTCCCTGAGAAGATACACCTCTGCTTCTGCCTTCCAAGGTCTTAATCACATCCTCTGTGGCTGGCCTTTGTGGGCCGCACGGTCTGATTCCAGACTCCACACCTGGGGCTTGTGTCTCAAATTCTCAGTGGAGATTTCCTGCCCTCTCTGTTCAGTGTCAAGGTAAAGATTTGCAAGTTTCTTTACTGTCCTGTTTCTGCAAAGCCAGGTTACTTTCTCCTTCATGCTTAGTCTGAGAGTACAGACTTTAGTTTACCAGCCTCGTGTGACAGGTTTCCAGTTAGACTCCTCATCCTTCTGAGAGGTATGCAGTGTGCTGGCACTTCCAGCCACCTGTGATGGCTCAAAACTAACTGATGCAACGGATTTAAATAGATTACTGCAAAACCTCTTTATTCCCCTTAGTGTTTCCTCCTAAAGTCATTAGCTTTACATCCTGAAAACCTACAGCAATGTTTCACCGTATTTCTACAAAGAACTAAGTTACCATGCATAGTAAAAAAGCCTAGAAATCAAATGTTTAAATATTTTTTATGTCTTGAATCTAATTCCAAATACTCATGACGACTTATATACTTCTAGCTGAAAAAACAAACTCCTAGTTTTTGAAATCCTAAAATTTAGAACAGCAAGCTAGCTTTCAGAGAAGATATATATAATTTGATCCCCAGGATGAAAAGTAAACTCTGAATTATTTGGTTATAATAATTCTATTTAGACATAGAGTAGCAAAAAATAGTCACTTTCCTATCAAATCACTACAAATTCTGATTTCATTTTAAGTCTCATAAGCTTGAATGATCAGTATTCTCCTTAACACCTCATTTGGTATAAGCTGTCAAAAACAATAATCTACATCAAAGATGCATATGATTTTTTCCTTTAATACCAAAATCCTGACAAATGATTTCTTTCCAAAACTTTGAACAATGTCCAACAACTAAAAATTTTAGGGGAAAGATGAGAAGGATAATATAATGCAAAATTAAAAAGAAGGAAACTAGAAAAATGACCTTAAAACGATACAAAGACATGTTTTAAGACAATTCCACAAGCGGAATGAGAACAACGGAAAAGAACCCATTTCTCCTGACTAGACCTTATCAGCCAAAGGAAACTTTTCAAGTGTCCATGTTTGCTTTACAACTTCTGGGGAAAAGACTACCTATTGATAGTGGCTAATAATATTCACTCAGCATATACCTTCCTGCTTACAGCTGATAAATAGCCAGTGAGGTAACTGTCATTACTACTTTATTTCACAGATAAGGAAATGGAAGCTTACAGGTATTAAGAAACTTGATCATGGTCATTCAGCTCCTAAGTAAGTGTAGCTACACTTCATTCTCGGGAGGTTCTCTCCCACACTGACTCGGGGTGCAACATTAGGTCCTGGGAAAGCCCACAAGAGGAGGGCACATGTGTAAGCACTAAGTCCAGCACAGTTGTACAAGAACTCTAGAGAGGGCTTGGGGCACAGAAGAGGAATGCACAGGAAAATAGGAAATTAGCTGACCCGAGTAAATACACTTCAGCTAGTTCTTTAAATAAAGAGCATCCAAAACGTATTTCCTGGCTAACACACCTTCTTTTTAAAGTATCAGTTTACTGGCTTTACTCATGCAGATGCTTTGATAGATATCACAGATTTCAAAGTATATGGGGCTGATGTCAGAGTATATAACCCCCTTCCACACACACACACACACACACACACACACATTCACAACACACCGTCGCTATTTCATTCAAAGTAGTTTGGGCAGAAAGGTGTACTTTAAACAGGAAATGCTTCTCACATGTCACTTGATTTGAAATATCCCTATCAGCATGAAAATTACAGTAAAAATGAAAGGAATTTACTTCTCTCTGTGACTCTTCTAAAGTAGCAGAAGAGCGTTTTAAGCTTCTCTGGTTTCCTTGGTGAACGTCCTTCAAACAACCTGAAAGAGACCAAAAATACAAGTGGGTGGAGGAAGATTAAAAAGGCCCTAGTAACTCACAAAACACTAAAGCTGGTTGTTACCAAGTAATAAAAAGAAATTCTGTAGAGAGAGCTGGAAACCGGATTGGACGCGAGGGCCTCTGGAGAGGACGGAAGCCAACTACACCAGGTTCCCTGGCGCTGCTCAGTCAGGGACACTCTCCACCCACTGCTGCTGCTGCTGCTTTTTCTCTTTTAAAGATTTTATTTCTTTATTTGAAAGTAAGAGTTACAGAGAGAGGAGGAGTGAGAGAGAGAGAGAGATCTTTCATCTGCTGGTTCACTCCTGAGATAGCTACAACGGCCAGCGCTGGGCCAGGCTGAAACCAGGAGCCTGGAGCTTCCTCCAGGTCTCCCATGAGCATAGCAGGAGCCCAAACATCTGGGCCCTCTTCCACTGCTTTCTCAGACCATTAGCAGGGAGCTGCACCAGAAGTGGCCGGGAAACACATGGGATGCTGGTGTCCCAGACAGCAGCTGTAACTGCTACACCTTACTTCTTCCCCACATTACTTCCTCCCCCCAGGGAGAAGGTAGCATCTTGTGCCCCAAAGTCCACTGAGGTCAGTCTGTTAATGCACAGCTGGCTTCCCAGTGGTAGATACTATTTATAATTCATAACATTACTAGGCAGTTACATAACTAACAAAACCAGTATCAAAAACTCCACATTTGTATGTTTGTGGTAGAGTGGAGGTGGGGAAAGACAGGCAGGTATGACAAGATAGCAGGGGCCATGCAATCCTTGGAAATTAGGCGAAGCAACCTTGTTATGGACCAAATGTTTGTGACTTCTCAAAATTCCTACGCTGAAAGCCCCATGTGACTGTATTTGGAACAGTAATGGTTAGATGAGGTCTTAGATTAGGGTGGGTCCTAACTGGACAGGATTGGTGTTCTTTCTATTTTTTTTTTTAAGGTTTATTTATTCACTTGAAAGGCAGTTACACAGATGGAAAGAGACACAGAGATCTTCCATCGATTGGTTCACTCCCCAAATGGCCACGATGACCAGGACTAGGCTAGGTCAAAGCCAGGGAGCTGGATGTGGAACACTCAGGTCTCCAACTGGCTCCAATACGGGATGCTGGCATTGTAGGCAATGGCTTTACCCCCTAGGCCCCTCCTGATCATCTTACAAGGGTACCACTCCTAAGGCCAGTTTTGTGGTATAGTGGGTTAAACCACCACCTGCAATACTGGCATTCCATAAGAGTACTGGTTCAAGTCCTGGCTGCTCCACTGTCAATCCAGCTCCCTTCTAATGTGCTTGGGAAAGCAGAAGTGCTTGGGGCCCTGCCACCCATGTGGGAGATCCAGATGAAGCTCCTGGATCCTGACTTCAGATAGGCTCGGCTTCAGCCATACTGGTTGCTTGGGGATTGAACCAGCAGATGGAAGACCTTCCTCTCTGTCTGTCTGTCTCTCTCTCTCTCTAAACGCTGGCTTTCAAATAAATAAATCTTATACATAAAATAAAGAGGATGAGACGCTGGAGGGCCCTCTGGGCCATGAGAGGACACACTGAGAAGACTGGAAGAGAGCACTCATCTGGAACCAGACTGGCCAGCACCCTGAAATGTGACTTCCAGCCTCTAAAGCTGTGAGAAAGGAAGTTGTGGATGTTCAGGACACCCAAGCTGACTAATACAGATCCTTTGCGTGGTAACCTCAAAAGCCTTGTCCAGGTCATCTAGTTTTCAGCAACCTGGACTTGTACTACTTAATTTGGTTTTCTTTGAAATGCTGTGGCATTGTTGCTGGTAACATATAATTCAATTTATCCTAAGGGGAGAACAGCAGGGCTTTGGAAGCCTGTGACCCGAGTAAGTCACTGAAAGATTCTGAACACAAAAGCATGCTTTTGGGCTGCAGAGCTGGCTTTCCAAAGGCATTTAAAAGACCTAGGAAGATTCAGTGGCTGCCAATGAAGAGGGTTCATCTGCCTCAAGTCATGCACTTGGACTTTTAAAACCAGAAACCCTTCAAGTCAAAGTCCACTTCAGTAAGTGCTGAAATGGGTAACATTTTTCATGATTAGAAGAGCAAGCCTTTGAAACTATGTAGGGAAGTTAATTCCATGAGAAAATCCTATTGAGCCACTCTGAAATGAATTAGAAAAAGGAAAGGAAACGCAGATTTCAAATGACCCTGTTTTCAATGATCTGAAATCTGTATTCAGAGCCAACTTCCGAAAACACAATTTATGTGAATATTTATTTTCTAAAAAAAACACTGATGTTGGATATTACCTTAACCTAATCTATAATCTAATCTATTTTTAAAAACTGTTTAAGAATGCATGTACTACAATTTTTATTCAATTAAAGAACATATGTTTTTTATTTTATTTTTAAAAGAAAACTTTTATTTAATAAATACAAATTTAGAAAGTACAACTTTTGGATTATAGCAGTTCTTCCCCCCATAACCACTCTCCCACCTGCAAACCATCCCATCTCCTACTCCCTCTCCCATCCCATTCTTCATTAAGATTCATTTTTAATTAGCTTTATACACAAGATCAACTCTATACTAAGTAAAGATTTCAACAGTTTGCACCCACACAGACAAGAGTATAAAGTACTATTTGAAGACTATTTTTACCATTAATTCTCATAGTACAACACATTAAGGACAGAGCCCCTACAGAGGGAACAAGTGCACAGTGACTCCTGTTGATGATTTAACAGCTGACACTCTTATTTATGATGTCAGTAATCACCCGAGGCTCTTGTCATGAGCTGCCAAGGCTATGGAAGCCTCTTGAGTTCACAAACTCCGTCAGTATTTAGACAGGGCCATAATCAAAGTGGAAGTTTGCTCCTCCCTTCAGAGAAAGGTACCTCCTCCTTTGATGGCCCTTTCTTTCCACCGGGATCTCACTCACGGAGATCTTTCATTTAGGTCATTTTTTGCCACAGTGTCTTGGCTTTCCACGCCTGAGATACTATCACAGGCTTTTTAGCCAGATCTGAATGCCTTCAGGGCTGATTCTGAGGCAGGAGTACTATTTAGGGCATTTATCATTCTGTGAGTCTGCTATGTATCCTGCTTCCCATGTTTGATCGTTTCCTCCTTTTTAATTCTATCAGGTATTATTAGCAGACACTGGTCTTTATGTGATCCCTTTGACACTTATTCCTATCTTTATGATCAGTTATGAACTTAAACTGATTACTTTAACTAGTAAGATGGTATTGGTACCTGACAGCTTAATGGGATTTGGAGTCCCATGGCAAGGTTTTTTTTTTTTACAGGCAGAGTGGACAGTGAGAGAGAGAGAGAGAGAGAGAAAGAGAGAGAAAGGTCTTCCTTTTGCCATTGGTTCACCCTCCAATGGCCACCGCAGCTGGTGCGCTCACGGCCGGCGCACCGCGCTGATCCGAAGGCAGGAGCCAGGTGCTTCTCTTGGTCTCCCATGGGGTGCAGGGCCCAAGCACTTGGGCCATCCTCCACTGCACTCCTGCACCACAGCAGAGAGCTGGCCTGGAAGAGGGGCAACCGGGACAGAACCCGGCGCCCCGACCGGGACTAGAACCTGGTATGTCGGCGCCGCTAGGCGGAGGATTAGCCTATTGAGCCACGGTGCCGGCCTCCCATGGCAAGTTTTTAGGTTTACCCTTAGGGGTGAGTCTGAGGGAGTATGTGCCAAACTGTACATCTCCTCCCCCTCTTATTCCCACTCTTATTTTTGACAGGGATCAATTTTCAGTTGTATTTAAATACCTAAGAGTAATTCTGTGAAGAAAAAAAAGAATTTTGTGTTAATTAATGAATTCAACCAATGGTATTAAGCAGAAAAACAAAATAATAAAAAGAATAAAATAGTAAGCTAGAACATATGTTTCTAAAGTTTTTTTTTTTAAGATTTATTTCATTTATTTGAAAGGCAGAGTAACAGAAAAAGAATGGGAGAGACAAAGAGAGAGAGAGAGAGAGATTGAGAGAGAGAGAGATCTTTCATCTGCTTGCTCATTTCCCAAAAGGCTGAGGCTGAGGCAGGGCCAGGCCTGAGCCAGCAGCCAGGAGCCAGGAGCTTCATTTGGGTTTCCAATGTGGGTGACAGAGATCCAAGCATTTGGGCCTTTCTTCACTGCTTTCCCAAGTGCATTAGCAGGGAGCCGGACTGGAAGTAGAGTAGCCAGGACACAAACTGGCACCCATATGGGATGCCAGCATTGCAGGCAGTGACTTTGCCTGCTATACCATGACACTAGCCCCTCTAAAATATTCAATATACATACTCTTAAAATCCAGCTGCCAGCTGAAAGAAAAGCTCCTTGAAGGTACAAGTTTCAGCTTAGTTTCTTCTGCAACATGTCAACCAGAATGGTTTGTTTAAATCCAATGACAGCCAATGTCAAGAAGTTGTTTGGTGGTTTAAACGCTGTTATCAGTAACTATGATTCACTCAATGAACACCAAGGGCTCTGATGCAAAACCCCTTTCCAGGCATACCACTCAGTCGAGGGAAGCAGTCTGAGTGTACAAACCAGCACCACCTTCTTCTGGAGATAAACTGCCTATTACATAATTCAATCTAAGGGACAGAGCTCCCCTTCAACACAACTGCTGCAGAGGGAGAAGGCTGCAGTACAGACTAAGTTTCCAAAGCAAAAAAGAAACAGCATCCCCAGCTTAACGTGGTCGGCTGCTTGTACAACTGCATAAAAGTTCACCTGTTTCATAGCCTGAATGACAAATGATTAATCTAGGAACCTCGTGGGCCTACAGATTTATTACCCTAGCGATACAGACTTTCCTGGAAGATTCTATGGCTGTTATTATCACTCACTACAAATGAGCACCATGTTTTATTTAGCAGGCCCAAATCTTAAAGATAGAAAAGAAGCAGCCTCTTGGTGTATTCTGGTTAGTCACTGCTCCAAGCCCAATTTAGCACCACTGTATACCCTACCTTCCTTGTACACAGTGGGGAGTACAGACAAAGTTCAG